TCATCAAATGGTTCGCATTGTTTGTCATATTGCCATTTTACTCCCTACATTCTTCTGTAATTTGTTGTATGAACCAAGCTATTTTGCTGTAGAATATAGATGGGAGTTGACATGTCCCCTTAAAATCTACTTGATTAAGCGCTAATCTTAATGCATATCGAAATTGGAAACATTTGAATTCAAATTTAGAATAATCCGAATTTTGATTCCAGCAAATTTATAGTCAAACTGAACGTTTCGACAAGATGGACCGAGTGACAAAAAATGATTTGATGAGTCTAAATTAGCATAAATCATGCATTTAAATCATAGTTAAAAACTTCATGACATTAATTGAGGGACCACTTGATTTCCAAATCTTGAATGCTTATGGTCAAATTGAGCGTATCGATCGAATTAAACAAGTTTATGATTGTTAAATTTTGTCATCATTTAGGGGCTTAAAATGTTGAAAGAAGATTCTATGATCAAAGGAACCAATATGGATCGTCCGATGAAGTGCTTTGAATTTTTGCTATATTTATGAGTGTCCCTCTAAAAAATTATAACTAGACCTCCGCTACATATATGAAGGGGATTAGGGACGCAAGATTGGAGATAGTTGAGAGGTTTAAATAATTCTAGAGCACTTGATTGCCGCTGTTGCAGCACTGAACGACTGCCAATATCAAAAAATGACTCGACTATCACCATCATATCATTGTCTGATCGTGTCTCGGAACATTGTTCTATCATTGCCATCGGACCATTGTTGTGAGACAGTCGTCATCGAAAATTGCTCGTTTGCCTCCATTAAAACACTATTGGACCTTCGATTTTGGACCACCTCGGGGCTATTGCATCTAACCATTGGTAGATCGTCGCCATTGGACCACCGATGGAATTGTATCCGTCAAACCATTGCTCTTCCGTCGCTAATGGAACACTACCTAACCAATACCGTTGGACTATTGTTGTCAGGCTGTCACCCGACTATGGTAGTATGGTCAATTGACCACCATAGTCCCACTTCGACCCATCGATCCCTATCACATGCTACAATTTTTCGATCATCATGACCCAATAGTGATCTCTTTACTATAACCCTTCGACCATCATTGCTTGATTGCGATCCTTTGATTATTATCATTTGATTACGTTCCTTTTGTCATAGTTACCCAACAATGATTTTTCGACTATCATTCTCTAACTACAGTCCATCAACCACTATTGTGAAACCCCTTAAGTAGAAGAAGCTAAATTCTTAGACATCAAGATATCTTTTGATGTAATGGTCGGAATTTCATTTAAGAAACTTCAGAGTTGAGCGTGCTCATCCCAGAGCAATTCTTGGATGGGTGCAGCACCTATTGGGAAGTTACACTAATATGACAAAATCGTGAGGCTCTTAGGCCAAATAGGATGATATCTTGATAGTTAAGAGTTTGGATTGTTGCAAATGATATCAGAGCAATACACCAATCGGAAGATGGGAACTAACTCTTAGATAAGACAAAGTGTTACGCCATGGGAGCTATCTCTTGAACCCTGTATGAGATAAAGTGCTATGTGACATGAGCCACCGCTTGAACTTGTAGGGGCCACCTCTAGAATCCTATATGCTTGATGGATGATTTTTGGATAAAGATGCTGATGAGGATGTTAGTTACTTATGTGAGAGAGATTTTGAAACCCCTTAAGTAAAAGAAATTAAACTCTTAAATATCGAGGCACCTTTTGGTGTAATGGTTGAAATACTATTTAAGAAACTTTGGAGTTAAGTGTGCTCATCCCTGAGTAATTCTTGGATGGGTGATCTATTAGGAAGTTACACTAACAGGACAAAACCGTGAGGCTCTTAGGCCAAAGCGGATAATATCTCGACAGTTAAGAGTTTTGATTGTTACAAATGATATCAGAGCAATGCATTAGCCGGAAGATGAGAATTAAGTGTCATACAAGACAAAGTGCTATGCCATGGGAGCCACCTCTTGAGTCATGTATGGGACAAATTGCTACGTGATGAGAGCCACCACTAGAACTTATAGGGGCCACCTCTAGAATCCTATATGTCTAGTGGATGATTCCGGGATAAAGATGCTGACGAGGACGTCAGTTACTTAAGTCGGGGACATTGTGAAACCCTTTAAGTAAAATAAGCTAAACTCTTAAACATCGAGGTACCTTTGGTGTAATGGTTAGAATTTCATTTAAGAAACTCCGGAGTTAAGCATGTTTATCCCGGAGCAATTCTGGAATGGGTGACCTATTGTGAAGTTACACAAACAGGACAAAACTGTGAGGCTCTTAGACCAAAGCGGATAATATCTCGATAGTTAGGAGTTTGGACTGTTACAACTATCTCTAACTATTCACCTTTGTTTGATTACGGTCTTTCGACCACGATCGCTCGACTATGGTCCTCCGGTTATCGTTGCTCAACCACGGTCCTTCAACAACCGTAGTTCTACTACGATCCTCGACCATTGTTGTCTGACTATGATATTTTAGCCATCATCGTTCGACTACAATCCTCTGGCAACTTATGTCCACTGACCACTGTCATCTGATTTTGGGCCATTGACAACTGTCGCTTAGCTGCGATCATCCAACCACCACTCGCCCAACTATAGTCCTTTAACTACTGCTGCTCGATTACGATTTTTAGACCACTATTGTCCGACTATGATTATTCGAAAATCGTCGCCTGACTATTATCCTCCAACCACCATCTTTGACGATAACCTCCCGACCATTATTGCATGACAACGGTCTCTTGACTATTATCGCCCAACAGGTCATCTAACCACTATTGCTTGACTACGATCTCTCACCACTATCGCTAAAATTCGGTCCTCTAGTCACCTTCGCCTAATTATTGATCTCCAGCTAGCATCACCCAACTTACGTCTTCCAACCATCATTTCCCGACTATAGTGTCCCAACCACGGTCGTGCGACTACTATTCTTTAGTTTCCATCACTTGATTAAGGTTCTCCACCCCTCGTCACTCGACTCAATCCTTTGATCACCATCTCTTAACTACGTTCTTACGACAACCACCTGCCAACCATGATATCTTAACCATTGTTGTCCGTCTATAGTTCTCAAGCAATGATTGTTTAACTACAGTCTTCCAACCGCCATCGCTCGGCTACAATCTCCTAAACACCATTGCCTGAATACGATCCTCCGGCCATATTCCCTGACTATAGCTCGTGACCTTTATTGACTTACAATAATCCTATGACCACCTTTGCCTGACTAGGGTCCGACCACACCCTTGAGTATAATTTTCTGACCATTATTGCACGATTACTATCTCTTGCTGATCGTTACCCAACTTTGGTTCTCTGACTAAAGTTGTTCGACTATGATCTCTCAGCCACCATCATCGACTATGGTCCTCCGACCACTTTTGCTCGACTATAGACTTCGGATACCATTGCCGAATTATGGTCCTTTGGTCATTTTACCTTACGCCAATGCTAACACCAATGTCAGCTTGCTTTGTTGCATACTATCACCTATAAGGTTAATGCACGTCGTTGTCTCAAGGGTTAACATTTGTCAACTTTGTCGTTGCTAACATCAACGCACGCCATTGTCTAGAAGGCTGATGCACATCCTCCATTCTAACACAAACTCTCTACATCAACATCAAGATTTATACTGGACCTCTTGGGCATCAGTCTCTTTTGTTTAAAGAAGAACGACCAAACATGCGACAAATATTCTCTTAAAAAAACTCCAATGCTTCAAAGTTCTTTCAATCTTTTACGGTTAATATGATGCAATTGAAAGATTGCAGAACTAGTAGGAGAACCCCTGGTCACAAAAAGAAACAAAGACGTTCCTTATAACTTGAATTAAAAGGACAAACAACACTTTAAACATATCATGACATTACAAACTTAAATAAGACATGAAAATATCTAAAGAAGCTTTTCCTGGTCGAGAAGAAAGATACAAATGCCGTCGAACTTGCGGAGATAAGAAAGAGGTAAGAAGCCCGAGATGAAAGAGAGGACAAGCTCGCAAGCTTTCCCAAGAAGAAGAGAAAAGGAATGGAACAAGCTCGCAAGCTTTTCCAAGAAAATCCTAAGGTTTTAGCTTTCCAAAAATCATCCATAAAATTCTCTTTATGCTTACAAAACATCACATTTATATAGGAGAAAAGGGTCAGCCAAACAACCAAAATCCACCTCCAACTTAGCCCTCAAAACAGGGGAAAATGGAAGGCCAGCAGGCGGTCCAGGAGCAGCACCCGAAGAGCCACACAGGGAACCGGAAAGGCAGCCACGGGAGACAGAAACGGGCACCACAGGGAACCGGAATAGGCAGCCAAGGGGAGACCGAAACAGGCGGCCAAAGGGGAGAAGAATTAGCCATAGGAAGGCCAGGCGGGGAAAAACCGAAGGGCTACAGGAGGGGGAATGAACCTTAATTTACACTAATTTATGAGCTCAAAAGAAACATCAGCTCAGTATTAATGAGCTGAAGCATAACAGCTCCCAAAAACATAGCAAAAACATCACAGGCAAGCCCAAATCGAGAAGGAACCAGCAGCCCAGAATTTTGGCATATGATTTGACCCCTCCTTGGCCTACATCATAATGGCTACTATATTGTATCAACGTTTCCCCCAATTATAAGTGTATTATTTGTAATCAATAACATACATTAGTTTAATCATTTCAATTAATTTAGATCTGATGGTTTTATTCATTTTTAGGGTTTTCATGTAAAAGTCTTGTATTTTTTATAGCTTATCTTCTATTTTTTTTGTGTTGAACCTTCATATAATATTAAAATATTAAATTATTTCTCTAGTCATGAATATTCTGGTACGTGACAAGAGTTTTTTTTTTTTGTATAAAAATTTGCTAGTGTTTCTATTGGAAATCTGAGAATGCATCGATTAGACATTTCATCTTAACATCAAAGCAGCATATCGGCATTTATTTTACTAACTTGAGCGTTAGCTTAGTACGTGAATTTTTATCCCATTTCGGTTCCAGGTCACTAAGGAGGAATTAGCCAGCACGGATGAACTAAGTGGTTTCAGGAAGCATGTAACCAGCTTGGCTGCCCTGGACTTTTTGGTTTGCCTGAAGTCGGATGTTTTTGTCATGACCCATGGCGGCAACTTTGCAAAGCTGATCATAGGTGCTCGGAGGTACATGGGGCACCGGCTCAAGTCCATAAAGCCAGACAAGGGGCTAATGTCAAAATCCTTTGGCGACCCTTACATGGGATGGGCATCATTTATCGAAGATGTGGTCATCACTCACGAGACACGAACTGGTCTCCCCGAAGAGACTTTCCCTAACTATGATTTATGGGAGAATCCTTTGACACCATGCATGTGTAGAGCTTGATCTGTGGCTCTTTTGATGGTACGCTTCTGCTCTGCACATCCTAACTACATTCAATTTGCTGATGCTCTCTACGCCTAGTTTCTCTTACTGTTTTTTTGTCATATTTTTTACCTCACTTTTTCTCCCTCTTCTTAATTTGTTGTATCCTTTGCCTACGAACTGATAGATCGATTGTTAGAAAAAACTTAGTAAGCTGTTTAGGTATGAAATTATGCTATTTTTTTTTTGGGCAATGATTCTTTTATATTTTCCAAGGGAATCAAACCTTTTTATTGTAAAAATTACGTTTGCTTGATGGTGGTCTTACTGTTATATATTCATGTTTGTTTTTGCTTTGAAGACTCACTAATCTGGCCAATGAAAGTGACAGAACTTAAGTGACAAGAAAATCCCAAGGAGCTTTATTGGAGTTCTATGTCACCGATGGGTAGGATCTCTATCTCTATAATCTGTTACTTTTGGAAATCTGCAAGGGTGTAAGCTAGCTTAGCATGAGTGAGCTACTTTCATTAGGACATATTTGGGCTCAGTTCATTAATTCAAGCACCAATTACATCATTTTATACATGTTAATGTTCCAAAATCTCTTTTTAAGCTCCGTTTTAATTAATTCATGAAGCTCATATTCCATTTATTTGCACTTGCTTAGACTAGTGAACTGATCTTGAGTTGAATCATTAGTGAACTTGAATGCGCTGAACACAAATTGATTATCAACTAGCTCAATTTTAATGTAAAGATCGTTGCTTCTGTTTAGGTCGTATATGAAACAAATATGTTCAAGCTTGAGTTTTATTTTCTTGACTGGAAATCAATAGCGAATAATTGAGTGCTCATGCTGCTTATTGAAAAGCACATTAGCTGTATGGAAAGATTAAGCTTTTTAACGGCCTCAGAAACCATAGGGTCCATTCTAAATTGTATGAGAGATACCACTTCAAATACCTCCTGATGTGGTTATCGGTGAAAAAGGATAAAGATAGCAGCTCAAGCAAAGAAACATATAAAAGGCAAAGGTTTTTCTTTAGTAATATATTTCCTGCCTTTCTTCCGTCCCTTCCCCTTACATATATCCTATGCGATCAAGCTTTCACATTCCAGCTTGCTGAAAATAGTAGCATAACTGAAAAAAAGGTAATACGGTATGTCAGTAACGAAACAAAGGTAATATTAAAAGTGATGGTTGCATAAAGAGATAATGATAACTAAAACAGATAGCGGTGAAATAAAGGGCTAATTCATGTTACTATGTGATGCACTCATCATCTCCTATGCTGAAAAAATAGAACCACATAAGATGAAATGTCACATCAGGCGTGCATTAACCTTATAGGTGAATTTATGATGTTAAGATGAAATGTCTAATCGATGCATTCTCCTTGATCTGTTGCATGGAAACTGAAGTTTGAGCGTACTTTTATTAATAGCTTGGTTGTCTAAACACATCTTTCAGCTACCATTCTTCTTTGGGACAAGCAACACCGACACTGCACATGGACTCAAACTGGATTATATAAATTGCTTGGCTAGCAATTCATCAACAAGTTGTTGCAAAATGACGTGCTTTGACGGGATCATTTGGTAGTGAGGTAAATTTGGAAGAATTGCACCTGGAATATTTATTTGGACACTCGTTCGACTTGTGTCTGCCAGAGCTTGTTATTCTTCCGATTTTGCATCTAAGAAGTGTAACTGTTGTCTTTTAGGACACTCAGTTCTACTTTTGTCCAGGTTGTAAACAACAAAAACATTTAATTGTGGTAGGTCTCACAAATGGATTTTCCTTCGTCGAAGCGGATCCCCCCTGTTGGTCCGAAAGTTTGTTTACCCAAATTAGGCTGTTGTCTTGAGGTGTTTGTGAGCTGGTCAACACTTGGTCGGTGTAAGAGTACAGTTTTCAAACCACGAGTGAGTTGAATTTCAGATTTGAGAGCAAAATTGACTGATTGAGACAAAGACTATAGTGAACTAAGCTCCAATTTATCTTGAATTGCGTCTTTAAGGACACCGATATACCTTGTTACCAGCTTATTAGTATTCTCACTATGATTGTTCCTTGCACTGAACAGTGAAATTCTTCTGTGTAATCACTTACGGTTATGTAACCTTGAGCACAATGTCGGTATTTCATATACAACATTTGTTCAAAATCTGCAGGCAAAAAATGACCACGGAGGAGTTGTTTCATTCTAACCCAGCTACAGACCAGTCCTCGTCCTGGTCTTCACCCTTCACGCCTGTGTTTGTTGTATTTGTAGCCACCAGACACTAGCATCTCCCTTGAGTTGAGACGCCTCACTTGTTTTTCAGATTCAATTTTCATATACTCAAAAAAGTCTCAACAGATCTCTCCCAAAAAAAGAAATATCGAGTTTCACAGGACCCTCACTGTGGTTTCAATCGTACCCTCCAGCTCGCCGGTGTTGAACATGGTTGATCGGAAGGTATCCCCCATTGTAATCTGACAACGGCTCTCTATAAAAGAGAATTAAAACTTAAACCGATAAAGCTGAAATTAAGGGCTAATTCATATTATTATATGTCTGTAACTGTCTATTTATTTATAATTAAGTTTATACCTTATTTTTAATTAATAAATGATTTAAAAGATGTGCTGCGTAAGTATCCTATCAGGTGTCAGGTTTTGTTTTAAAATGTGCTATCGATAGAAAAGTTTGTGTTGTACTAACTTTGGTTTGGTTTAGTTCCTCCTCTCTGATCAGATCAATGATATTACTGAATAGTTTTCACTGAGAAATATTGAACTAGTTTTGTGCACTCGAGCACTTCGAGTTCTATCGGCTCTTCCGCATGCTTCACATAAAAAATGGACATTCAACAGGCAATTTTTTTTTTTTTTTTGAAAAAAAAAAGTACTAATTGGAATGAAATTATCAAGAAATTATAAGCAATATTAAATTTAAAAATAAAATAAAATAAGAATCCCATCGTATCCATCTATAATTTATTCGAAAATCGACATTTGGGATATAATTTATTCATTTCTGGGGAGACTCATGCGGTTTTAGTATTATTGGAAATCTTTTAAAATATTATGCATTTTCTTTAAGTTTGTCATTTCCGCCACAACAACAAGTTTGCCTGAATAGAGGGAAAATATTTTGAATTTTTTAATTATTTTTTAAATAAATTTTTAATATTAATTTTTTTTAAACAGAAAATTTTTATATTAAAAAGTTACTTTAAAAAGCAATTAAAAATTTGTTACAAATGCAACATTAAGTTTCAATAATGTTTCATTTTGAGATAATTTTTTTTTTATTATTCTTTAAAATAAATTTTTAATAAAAAATTTTTACTTTAAAAATTAAACAATTTTTTTAAAAAATAACAAAAAAGTTATCCCATTTAATACAATACGACAATATTGTCTTAGCCCAGTAATAAGCCATTACGAATCTACGATATACCATTTGGTATCTTTTGGGCCTACTCGTTTCTATTTTAAAAATAAAATAATGATTTAATTCCTTTCAGATGGGCCCAAGAAGCTAGGTGGGCTTACAAATGTAGGCCCTTCACTACATCCCTTTTTAAAATCTCCGCATGCGACGTTGTCTGCAGTGAAGTGGCGAACAGCCACCACTTCACATGTAGCACGTCGACACGTACCCCCTGCACTCTTTACTTAACTCCTCCACTCCGCTCCGATATCATAAGAAACTCCAAACCCTAACCAGATTCCAACAATGGCGTCTTCGTCTTCCGAAGAAATGAGTAAGAAAAAGATGAAACTGTCTGTCGGCTGTTGGCTGAGAGAGCGAAGAGTTCGAGATATTGTGCGCGAGAAGCGCCGCCTCGTTGAGGTGCCATACAACGCCACACTGTCCTCCACCGTCAATGCCCTGCTCGCTAACAATGTCGTGGCCGTGCCCGTTGCTGCGCCTCCCGGGCGGTACATTGGCGCCGGTGGCTCGATGATTCTGGAATCTGATCCGGCGACCGGCGCCGTCAGGAAGCAGTACATAGGCATCATCACAATGCTAGACGTCCTAGTCCACATCGCAGGCGACGAGCCTTTAGGAGCTGACTGTGAGGTTGATTTGGATAGGACGATGGCATCGCCGGTGTCTTCTGTTATTGGACACTCTCTCGAGGGGCTTACGCTGTGGAGTCTCAATCCTAACACAAGGTGTTCTTTTATCTTTGTTAAATTTTCTTTTAATCGAAAATTAAAATTAATTTTTGCAACGTGAAGTCAATTCCATTTGTGTTCGATCTATAATACAAAAGCATGAATAGTGCTGTACAAAACGGTAGTTACCTAATTTTCTGTCCTATAGAATGACTACAAAAGTAGTGCTGCAGGTGACGTTGATAAGACCATTTATTATAAAAAACTGGGTAAGCTTATATTTTTATTTGTAACACTTCTAAAGTAAGTCATCTAGAATACTTTAAAAAATCGCATATAAATCTTAGGAAATGCACGTTTCTATATCTTCAAGTTATTTTCTTAGGACATGTGGTCTCATATTGAGGTAGCTGATCCAAAATAAAGTTAAAGGCAAGCACTGAGTAGAATCAATTAAATTCTGTTTCTAAAGTCATAATTTTATGGACTAGCTACATTTTATAATAGATTATTAATGATTTTAGCTCAATTATTGCACACTTGATTGATTCTTTAAACAAGAGAGATTTAATTATTCTGTGAAAAGGCTTTTGAAAGGATAAAAACAAAAATGATTGGATCTCATGTGCTAAAGCTTTTTTATTTTACTATGGGGGTTTTGAAAGTATTGATATTTGGTTTTAAGTAAAAGAAATACATAGTACAATTTTGAAGTAAAATGAATTTATCATCCAGTTCAAATCTGTTGTATTTAGAATTCTTCTGATTTGAGCGATTTCCAAATAAACCGGAAACTCACCATCATTTTCATTAATGGAAGCCGTCGCCGCCCGCAGCTTGCCGTCAAACAATGCCACCCGTTGCCTACCACTAGCCCTCGCCAGCTTTCGCCGACCACTGTCGGCCGTCACCAACTACAACTATTTTCTACTTTACACTGCATTCAATTTTCTTCAAGCCAAACAAAAAAAGTAAATACATGTATTTATTTTACATTCATCCAAACAACTACAAATTATTTCAAATACATTGCATTCCTTTTGCACTGCATTCAAATTCTTTCAAACCAAACAAAAAAAAGTAAAAACCTACATTTATTTTACATTGATCCAAATATCTCCAAAATATTTCATATGCATTACTTTCTATTTTCAGCCAATCAAACAACCCCAAAATTTTTTGAAGTAGCATATGATCCATTTGGTCCATGCATAAGGGGAATATGAAGTCAATAAATTCATTTCATTGTTATTATAGTGAAAATTTTAATGATGCCAAATGTGAATGTTGTATATATTATGGAAGTTTATGTTCTTGTAGCTTTAAGGCATTGAAAACACTATCTATTGCCCCTGGAATTTGTTCTATAATTTATATAGGCTTATCAAGGGGTTATTTGGAATTTTTTAATTAGGTTTGATGCTTTTTAACGAGCTAGAAAACCATGCGCACCTTGTCATCAAAATTATTGTAGAACTAGATTAAATGAATTATTATATGGGCCTACATATCTAACATAGTCCTAGATGGGGTAGAACCTGATACCACCACGTGGTGGGTCTCCCTTCATTAATTATTTTGAAAAAACATGCAGGAATGTTCTGGGCAACATCAAGACTCCTTTCCTTGATCATGATTAAAAGTTTTGTTTGATGTATCTGGATCATTGTGTTTAAAGAAAGCAAAGGAACTCCTAATGCTGAGCAAAATGTTTACACTTATAACAATTGACTATAGATGTTCCTCTCACATTCTGAGGCTAGGCTTCTCAAAGGTCAAAAAGGCCTTACCTTTTATTAAGGATTAATCATAGCGTTACCTTGAACTGACTGGAAGATGTTTAGTCACATGGGTCTTAGAGTTTTCTCTTACCGAGGTTCGAAGGAGGAGTGGCCCATGTTTCAATGGCTGGAAGCTCCATGGACGTTCTCTAGGTCGAGATCATCAAGAATTATCGGTAGGCTGCTTGCATAGGATTTTCTTTGTGCAGAAAATGATGCTAAAAGAAAGTTGGTCGCTAACTTACCTATTTAGTCAAATCGAATTAAACTAAACTCTTCTTCAATTTTTATATTTTCCACGAAATTCATGTTTTGTATCATGTCCTTGATTAGATAGTATTTCTATCTATTATAATAACAGATCGATACTAAATTGTTTTGCAATGTATGTATGCTGTGTCCTATAGTTAAACTACAGAAATTATACATTCCCTAACTTCAAAGAATAAATTTTCAAAATTGATGTTTCAGTGATTAACTTATTATTATCACTTTTAACTAAATATTATTAATTGAAAATGAATCTCAAGCTAGTTTGCTCACTTGCAGCATCCTAGATTGCATGGAAACATTCAGCAAAGGAGTGCACTGGGCGCTGGTTCCAGTAGAGAGCCAAGCAGACGATGAAATTGCAGTGGAGCTGGTCAAGGCTTCACCTGGCTATAGAATGCTTACACAAATGGATTTCTTGAGTTTTCTGCAAGCAAATATGAATGAATTGAAGGACATTACGATACACAGTGTTGGAGAATTGGAGGTAGTCAATGAGAATGTTTTTGCAATAACCAAAAATACAAAGGTCATAGATGCTATCAGATCAATGAGGAGTTATTCCCTAGGTACTATTCCTGTTATTTCTGCTGATGCTAGCGATGATTCAGGGGAGGAAACAATACTTCAAGATGTAAGAGATCTAATCTTAGCAGATTTTGCTTGTTAGCCTTTTTCAATATTAATCGAGTTGGGTATTCAAATGGAGATGCTTCTAGTAAATACTAATAGTGTCTATTTTTCATTTGATCTTTTATTTATACTTGTTTTCTATATTTTGAATATTATAATTTTGGGAATTACTGCTGCCTACTTTCTATTACTAAAACTTTAAGCTACAGTAACACTCTTGAAGGGCCTGGGTAAAAAGATATAGGGACCTGTAAAACTTCCATTGATACTATTTTGAGGGATTCAAATATCTTTCATGTCCTGGAACTGAACTTATTTTGTTCTACATGTACAACATTTTAGGGGAGAGGAAGGAGTCTCATTGACGCATTCTCAGTAATAGATCTACAATCGTGCTCTATTGCTCAGCTCCAGTCCATGCTAAATGCCACTGTTATGGAATTCAAAGAACGAGTTTCGGAAATCACAGCTTCAACTGCAGGAACTGTAGAAAAACAAAGTCAGAATCTCATCACCTGCCATTCTGAGACCACGCTTGCTCAAGTGATCACTGAGGCGGCTTTGGCTCATGTTCATCGGGTTTGGGTTGTAGACGAGCAAGGGCTCCTGAGAGGCTTTGTTTCTCTAACTGATATTCTTGGAGCCATAAGAAACAAGGCGCTGGCATCAGAAAATGAGCTACAAGATGTGCCTGCTACCGAACCTGCTATTTGAATCTTCTCTGGTAATTGCTGTTTTATACTTTTTGTCCGAAATGGTTATGAAGGTTCAGTTCAATAATGCCTTCCTTGCAGGGCTTGAAGAGAGGAAGATGAATCAAGTAAGCTGTTTATTTCTGGAATGAATAAGAGCTCTCTGTTTTTCAGAAAGAAAGCTCATCTGACACTGCTGCTGCTAGGTGATAATCCATTTGGTTTTACTGCATATTTTCTTTCATTATATGTAGGGTTATAATCAAGATGACCCGTGCAGAGTACAGAGCATCACGAACGAATGCTCATACTATATAACTTGTTCATGCAAAAGCTTTAGCCGATCTTTCATATGTATATATATTTCGCTTTGTTTAACTTTTTTTAATAATGGACCGTGACTTTGGCTTGACTAATCTAAGTTGAATCTTTACAGCAGGATTTTAGAAAACTTATGAGAACTCATAAATGGTACAAAATAAATATAAACAATTAAATACAAAGAAAGAACATGCCAAACAAATCTACATTTCCCAGATAATTCGCTAGTGGTCTTCCAATCCTTTTCAGCTTCATTTGGATGGCTTTATTACTGTTTTTTAAAACAGCTTTTTAATACCAAATTTTTTATTTTTATACTAAAAAGCTACTTTAATAAGCAGTAAGAAAGCCGTCCCAAATGAAACCTTCCTCTGAAAAAGGCATGGTAAGATCTCACCTTGGAAACATTTCAGTGAAAGAAAGAGGACTAGAAGTGAAGCCAGGAATGGAAACTGGAGATGTGGAAGCATTGGATTTTAGTTCTTGAATGAGTCCAGGCTTTGTAAGTTCCTTCTCATTGAGTATTACAGGCTTGCATAGCATTTGCAAAACTTGTGGCATGGATGGTCTTCTTCCAGCTGCAGCTTGGGTGCAGAACAGTGCAACTTTAATGTATCTTAGTACCTCTTCTTGCGGATAATCTCCAAGAACTGGATCAATTAACTCTGACAGGTTTCCTTCTTCATATAGCTCCCATGTCTGCAAATTCATAAGAGAACTTGACACTGAGCATATATGAATTCAAAGAATTTTTTTTGCTGCATCATACCCCTCTGTACTATAATACCCTTACCCAAATATTCTTGATTGTAGATGGAATCAAATGCAGATGCAAAAGAAAAATCAAGAAAAAATGTGAAAGCCAAAGACAAAGGGGCTAAAAATTCATAAAAAAAAAACATTCAGTTAACTAAATTTGATGCCTCATATATCATACAAAATGAAGGATAATTTATTAACAACTTTCATAAACAAAACCACAATAGTGATTAACAGCAAGCCATAAATAGGCAGAGAAGAAAAAACTCACCCATTCCAGCAGAAGCTTATCATTCTCATACCAGTAAGGCTTGGAACTGCTCTTCCCACTCACAATCTCCAGTATAAGCACCCCAAAGCTGTATATATCAGCTTTCTTGGTTAATTGTCCATGCATTGCGTACTCAGGTGCCAAATAGCCACTGCAAATGTTATTTCTTAATTAGAAAATCAATTATAGCATTCAGTGTTAGCTTCTGGAGTCATCTTGATTGAATAATTTATCATCTTCTACACTTATTTCAATAAAATCCAGTGTAGAGCTCTCAGGAATGCAAAATATACCCACCGCGGGGTGGCCTGGTGGTGGAGAACTGGCTGGCCATAGGCCAGGTACCGAGTTCGAATCCCCTTGGCGCTTCGTGCAAGCCTTAAGTGTTGGCCCGTGTAAATTGGTGTGGGTTGCATGCTAGGTCGACCGGATTATCCCCTAACCAGGATGATCTGTTTTATTTTAAATATGCCTTATTTTAAGAGATATGCGAGCTATAGATGTGTCATATTTGCAAATGGCAAGGATATATACATCTCTGCCTGGAGTTTCCACACCCAAAAAGATTATGTTATCAGCTCATGATTTCTGTCAGGAAATCACTATATTAATTGAGTATATAATTTGGAAAAAACTTTCATTACTTTTATTTATTTATATTTGTTTTTTATCACTCTATTTTTTCTGTCATGATTGTTCGACAAATTTTATGCTGTCCGTTTATTATTCTATTCTTTCTGTCATGATTATTCGACAAATTTTACAATGGTTGTTGCCCGCCTAACACAACAAATTTTATTAAATGACTATTCGACAAATTTTATTAAATGATCATTCATTGAATAGAAATCATTAAATAAGGGGGATTTTCAAATCAAATTTAGGCTTTGTTTGGGACAACTTTCTTTATGTTTTCTAAAGTAGCTTTTTAGTACACAAATTTCTGCTTCAAAAAATTTTTGCACTAGAAAGATGCTTTAGAAAGCAATACGAAAGTTGTTCCAAACAAAAAGCCTTAATTTAAAAAATGCACCAACCAAATGATTGATTTATCAAAACCTGTTTTCTAACTTCAAGCAACTGGATGACTTAATGAGCAGTTGAGGAAAAATAGCATCAGCAGCACTCATATTCAGAGAATTTAAATACTTTGTAATAACATAATAAGATTTTGCAGGTATCTAAAGTGGTAATTACTTACGTTGTTCCGGCAACTTGTGTGACGATATGACTAACATTATCTGGAAAGAGCTTTGCCAAGCCAAAGTCACCAATTTTAGGCAGAAAGTTTTTATCAAGAAGAATATTGCTAGCTTTAATATCTCTGTGGACAATCTGTGGCCCATCTCCTTCATGAAGATATGTAAGACCTTTAGCAATTCCAATACAAATTGCACTTCTTATGTCCCAGTTCAGTTTATATTTTTCACTATTCAAACCTGCAAATTGACATGAATAATTAACTTTGACAAGGCACCATACCAAATTTATGTTATTATCAGCACAAATTTCATTTACCTAACAATGCATGATCAAGACTTTTATTTTCCACATACTCGTATACCAAAATTCGATTCGTGTCTTGCACACAACAACCGATTAACCGAACAAGATTTGGATGACTAACATTTGTGATCACATCAATCTCGGTCAAAAATTCATTCGCCCCTTGCTTCGATTGTGCAGACAGTACCTTTATAGCTATTAGAGTGCCATTTTTAAGAACTCCCTGGCAAAAAGCAAATGCAGTAAGTTAAATTTTCCTACTGACATAGAAAGGAAAAGATTCAATAATCAACTATGTTTCTTCCAAAGCAAAAGAAATAAATATAGCTTAACAAAGGTACCTTGTAAACACTTCCAAAACCCCCACGACCTATCTTATTGCTCAAGCAGAAGTTACTTGTTGCAGACCTTAGTTCATTGTAAGAGAAAAGCCTTAGGTTCTTTTCAGTTGAAAATTCTGACAGAAATAAAAAAAGTTGATAAGAGAAGGCATACAGCATGAAATTACTAGGCCATGTCATATTCATTACTTACCAGCAAAATCTCCGAGATGCTTTTTCCTCACACCAAAGCAGCGCAAATTGAAGATCATATTAAGCTCCTTTTAAATATTTGCAAACTTCAATAGTTTTGCAATGGAAGATCAATGATTGCCCTACAATTGTAGGAGATGATGAATGATTATTTCCCCAATGAATTTTAGCATTCGCAAAATCAAACAGGGCCAATCATTACTATATTTCAAGCTAAGAACAGATTCAAACAATGTCATCAAAGATTTTTTTTGGTCATAATCCCTAATCTTACAAACAAATTGCATGGTTACATTTTCCTTCTGAAAAGAATATGAAATTGCACACGATTAGATTTGCTTGATAAGACAATCTCCAACCGAATTACATACCACCGTATCCCATCCGTTATTTGCACGTCAAATTCCGGTAGGTGAACAGTGACGTCAATATTGTCGTCGAACTGTTCACCTACGCCAAAAAAATTCATTGCAGCATCTGCCGAAGAAGCACATGAAAGAGAGAAAAGTGCACCAAATATGGTTACCTTAGTAGGAAGCGTGAAAAAAAAGAAGAAATGATGTTCGATTGAAAAAGAATGACTGCATTTTGAAGTTTTATTATATTTTGGAGTGGAAATTGAGTTTTTCGGTTGGAGATGACCTAATGACCGAACATAAATCACTAAAAGTATATTTTTGAGGAAATCTAATGGAAACATTACAAACCGACAAAATTTTGCTTCTGATTGATGATGCTAAACATTTTTTAGGCAATCTAATTGAAACATTGCATTACAAACCCTGCCCACAACATACGAAAACATAGGGTTTCAATAATCAACACAGATCTCCATTTTTTTCACCCGAGAAACCCATTACCTATAAAAAAAAAAAAACTGTAAATCAATCGACAAATCAAAATGCTTAACCTAACAAAACCGACCAAAAGCATATCACAGATCTGAGCTTTGTACAAAAACAGGCAGAATAGCTTAGAACCCAAACCTCTTCCAGAAAAAAACAGAATGGGAAGCAGAAGAACCCACTCCTCATGCTTTAACTTCTTATAAGCAAAAGAGCCATTAGCTTCCAAGAAGAAGAAAGGAATTATGAACCGCCATTAGAAAAAACCAAGAAAACAGTGAGAAGTCCACTTCCTTTCGTCCAACTAAGAGAGCAAGAGAGACACAGAGAGGAGTTCATATTTTATTCCAATTTTTCCACTATATCCACATAATGTCAAAAACTATACTTTATAACTCTTTGTCTTGGCTGCTCCCATTTAGCTCTCTCTTCCTGTTTATCGCCATTGAGACATTGTCAAAATTGTTACAATGTATTTTCTTATATTTCTTCATTGTTAATTTAGTTGTTATTTCCGCGTGGACCATAGCCCTGCAGTGCAGATTTATTTTTTAAATTCCTCTCCCAGCTTTTTAAAGAATCGCTAGCCTGTTCAAAACTTGACAAATACAATATGGAATGAACAAACCAAACTGGGACGCCTATGATTGCAAATGAATCAAATTTGAACATAAATATAAAAGCTCGAATCAAACTAAAAAATACGGAAAGCAAACAAGCTCAAACATATGAACAAATATCTGCTTTGCTCTGCTCAGCTCGGTTCGATACTTTTGGAGTTCTAATCTAGGGGTGCAACTGAGTCAAGCTAGCTCGCGAGCCGATTTGGGCTCGACTCCTTAATGGGCTAGACAAGTCGAGCTTATTGAACTCACGAGTCAAGCTTATTGATCTCGCGAGTCGAGCTCGAACACAATTTAGAGCTTGACGGCTTAGAGAGCCCGAGTTGGAACACTCCGCTGCCCGACGATAGCTACTAGCTCGCGTAAGAGAAGACGAGGCATGTGGGATTCGAGAATCAGATTTTAGATGCGGGGAAAATGAAACTGTCAGCGGGAAGACGCTAGGGTTGTCCGCGGACGACACAAAGCTTGTGCCATCGGAAAGACACAGGCTTTGTGCCGGGAACGACGTAGAGCTTGTGCTTGAGACGATAGAGGTCGGAGACTCGAAGCTTGCGTGCTTCAACTGAGCTCAACGGGACGACGGACGACGGAGGTCACGGCTTGGGAGGACGAGCTCGCAGCTTCAACGGAACTTGACGGGACGACGGTTGACGTAGCTCAGGACTACGGTCGACGTAGCTCGGGATGACATAGCTGCCCGCGGACGACGCAGGTTGGAAAGGGCCTCGACTCTGAAAGACTGCTATAGCTGTTAAGCCAGCAGTTAAGA